CAGGGTCTTGAAAAAACCCCCGGGGGTTTGAAGAAACAGGGATCTTAAAAGAAACCCAGGGGTCTTGAAGAAAACCCAGGGTCGAAGAAACCGGGGTCTTGAAGACAACCAGGGATCTGAAGAAAACCCAGGGGTCTTAAAGAAAAAAAGGGGTCTTGAGCAACCGGGGGTCTTGAAAAAACCCAATTTTGGGAAAAGGGTCTTAAAGGGGGTTTGGAAAACCCGGGGGTTTTTGAAGACAACCAGGGTTTGAAGAAAACCCAGGGTCTTGAAGAAACCCCAGGGGTCTTAAAGACACCAGGGTCTTGAAGACAACCAGGGTCTGAAGACAACCAGGGTCTTGAAAAAACCAGGGTTTTAAAGACAACCAGGAGTCTTGAGACAACCAGGGGTTTGAAGAAACCGGGGTTTAAAGACAACCAGGGTTTTTGAAGACAACGGGGTCTTAAAGAAACCCAGGGGTCTTGAAGACAACCGGGGTCTTGAAGAACCAAGGGGGAAAGGGGGGTTTCTTTGGAAATCCCACTTATGTAGGGGGAGACGTTGAACAGTTTGGTCCCCTGACACTGTTTCACTGCCCCCCCCAAAAACATATTATTAATGTTGAATTTAAAATTTAATTTCATTTTAACTTTTTAAAGGTTGGTAAAAATAGAGATGTTGTTTATAAAATTTATTTTTTTCCCAGAAAAAAATTATTTCCCGATCCCCCCCCCAAAAAGCGAACACGTGAGTTGTTTGGTCGCGGAAGAGATGACGTCACATGTGTGCCCAGGGAAGATGCTTTTGGTCGTGTGTCTGACATCACATGGCACCACAAGGGATGGCGTGTTTGGCCGAAGAGACATGTGACGTCACATGTCCTCCTACTAAGCGAGGCACTGATTGGCTGACAAATATTACGAAGGCTCCTATTGGTTGAGGCTAAAATATTGCGTCATACAAGACACAAACATGTCTATGGCACACAAAGAGAACGTACACACACACACAAATGTACATACACACACACAAATGTACATACACACATGAGACAGTAAAAACGTACATAATAGACATATTTTTATGCCCAAACATTAATATTTATTATTAAAATTGTTAAGACCAGCTTGTTGACATTCCGTTTTCTTTAATATCTGAGTCCACCATTTTCTATGACCACAATACTAATAATCGCGGGGAAGAGCACTAAACCGGTATGGAATACACAGCATCTCTCCTGGAACGGCATTCTTAGTGTTATTGTATTAGAGAAAATATTACCACACAGAGCTTTAACTCTAACAGCCAAGTTCTTGATGTTATTCAACCCTGGAACAAATATTATCAGAGTAACTGTGTCTGGTCCAGTACTGGTGTGTCTGGACCAGTACTGGTGTGTCTGGACCAGTACTGGTGTGTCTGGACCAGTACTGGTGTGTCTGGACCAGTACTGGTGTGTCTGGACCAGTACTGGTGTGTCTGGACCAGTACTGGTGTCTGAACCAGTACTGGTGTCTGGACCAGTACTGGTGTCTGGACCAGTACTGGTGTGTCTGGGCCAGTACTGGGTGTGTCTGGACCAGTACTGGTGTGTTGGACCGTACTGGTGTCTGGACCAGTACTGGTGTCTGGACCCGTACTGGTGTGTCTGGACCAGTACTGGTGTGTCTGGATCAGTACTGGGTTTTCTGGACCAGTACTGGTTTTGTCTGGACCAGTACTGGTGTCTGGACCAGTACTGGTGTCTGGACCAGTTCTGGTGTGTCTGGACCAGTACTGGTGTCTGAACCAGTACTGGTGTCTGGACCAGTTTCTGGTGTCTGGACCAGTACTGGTGTGTCTGGACCAGTTCTGGTGTGTCTGGACCAGTACTGGTGTGTCTGGACCAGTACTGGTGTGTCTGGACCATTTACTGGTGTGTCTGGACCAGTACTGGTGTGTCTGGACCAGTACTGGTGTGTCTGGACCAGTACTGGTGTGTCTGGACCATTACTGGTGTCTGGACCCGTATGGTGTGTCTGAACCAGTACTTGGGGTTGGACCAGTACTGGTGTCTGGACCAGTACTGGTGTGTCTGGACCAGTAAATGGTGTGTCTGGACCAGTACTGGTGTGTCTGGACCAGTACTGGTGTGTCTGGACCAGTACTGGTGTCTGGACCAGTACTGGTGTGTCTGGACCAGTACTGGTGTGTCTGGGGCCAGTACTGGTGGTCTGGACCAGTACTGGTGTCTGAACCAGTACTGGTGTCTGAACCAGTACTGGTGTCTGGACCAGTACTGGTGTCTGGACCAGTACTGGTGTCTGGACCGTACTGGTGTGTCTGGACCAGTACTGGTGTGTCTGGACCAGTACTGGTGTGTCTGGACCAGTATGGTGTGTTGGGCCATACTGGTGTGTCTGGACCAGTACTGGTGTTTTCTGGACAGTACTGGTGTGTCTGGACCAGTAGGTGTTGGACCAGTACTGGTGTGTCGGACCAATACTGGTGTCTGGACCAGTTACTGGTGTTGTCTGGACCAGTACTGGTTTTGTCTGGACCAGTACTGGTGTGTCTGGACCAGTACTGGTGTCTGGACCAGTACTGGTGTGTCTTGCATAACAAGATCCATACATGTCTTGCAGAGAGAGAAGGGTGACCTGGCTGTGACAAGCTAGGTGAGGTCACAGGCGGGTTTTGAGTATCTGTGAGCTGGCTGTGACAAGCTAGGTGGGGCACAGGTGTTCTGAGTATCTGTGAGCTGGCTGTGACAAGCTAGGTGGGGTCATAGGTGTTCTGAGTATCTGTGGCTGGCTGTGACAAGTAGGTGGGGTCACAAGGTGTTCTGAGTATCTGTGAGCTGGCTGTGACAAGCTAGGTGGGGTCACAGGTGTTCTGAGTATCTGTGAGCTGGCTGGACAAGCTAGGTGGGGTCACAGGTGTTCTGAGTATCTGTGAGCTGGCTGTGACAAGCTAGGTGGGGTATAGGTGTTCTGAGTATCTGTGAGCTGGCTGTGACAAGTAGGTGGGGTCATAGGCGTTTGAGTATCTGTGAGCTGGCTGGGCAAGCTAGGTGGGGTCATAGGCGTTCTGGTATCTGTGAGCTGGCTGTGACAAGCTAGGTGGGGTCACAGGTGTTCTGAGTATCTGTGAGCTGGCTGTGACAAGCTAGGTGGGGTCATAGGTGTTCTGAGTATCTGTGAGCTGGCTGTGACAAGCTAGGGGGGGTCATAGGTGTTCTGAGTATCTGTGAAACTGGCTGTGACAAGCTAGGTGGGGGTCATAGGTGTTCTGAGTACTGTGAGCGCTGTGACAAGCTAGGTGGGGTCATAGGTGTTCTGAGTATCTGTGACTGGCTGTGATAAGCTAGGTGGGGTCACAGGTGTTTGAGTATCTGTGAGCTGGCTGTGACAAGCTAGGTGGGGTCATAGGTGTTCTGAGTATCTGTGAGCTGGCTGTGACAAGCTAGGTTTGGGGGCATAGGTGTTCTGAGTATCTGTGAACTGGCGTGATAAGCTAGGGGGGGTCACAGGTGTTCTGAGTATCTGTGAGCTGGCTGTGGGCAAGCTAGGTGGGGTCATAGGTGTTCTGAGTATCTGTGAGCTGGCTGTGACAAGCTAGGGGGGTCATAGGTGTTCTGAGTATCTGTGAGCTGGCTTTTGACAAGTAGGTGGGGTATAGGTGTTGAGTATCTGTGAACTGGCTGTGATAAGCTAGGTGGGGTCCCCAGGTGTTCTGAGTATCTGTGAGCTGGCTGTGACAAGCTAGGGGGGTCATAGGTGTTCTGAGTATCTGTGAGCTGGCTGTGACAAGCTAGGTGGGGTCACAGGTGTTTTTGAGTATCTGTGAGCTGGCTGTGATAAGCTAGGTGGGGTCACAGGTGTTCTGAGTATCTGTGAGCTGGCTGTGACCAAGCTAGGTGGGGATCACAGGTGTTCTGAGTATCTGAGGGGGGTCAGATTAAAGGAGTTTTTCGTGTATAGAATTATCTGGTAAGTTGAATTGTTATATGGCCTACAGGATGTCTTTGAGTGGTTATAGGCCTACAGGGTGTCCACGAGCTGTTATAGAATACCAGGAGTGTCTATGAGTTGTACATGTGTACCAGGTGTCCCATGAGCTGTTATGGCCTACCAGGGTGTCCTGAGCTGTTATAGGCTACCAGGGTGGTCCACGAGCTGTCATAGCATACCAGGTGTCTATAGTTGTTACATGGGTACGAGGGTGTCCACGAGCTGTTATATGCCTACAAGGGTGTCCAGGGAGTTATAGGCTACCAGGGTGCACGAGCTGTTATAGGCTACCTGGGGGGTCAGTGGCAGGTGTGAAGGACTGTTAGTGGCAAGTGGACGCTACTGATTGTACTCCAGGAAGACTGTTAGTGGTAAGTGGACGCTACTGATTGTACTCCAGAAAGACTGTTAGTGGTAAGTGGACGCTACTGATTGTACTCCAGGAAGACTGTTAGTGGTAAGTGACGCTACTGACTGTACTCCAGGAAGACTGTTAGTGGTAAGTGGACGCTACTGACTGTACTCCAGGAAGACTGTTAGTGGTAAGTGGACGCTACTGACTGTACTCCAGGAAGACTGTTAGTGGTAAGTGGACGCTACTGACTGTACTCCAGGAAGACTGTTAGTGGTAAGTGGACGCTACTGACTGTACTCCAGGAAGACTGTTAGTGGTAAGTGGACGCTACTGACTGTACTCCAGGAAGACTGTTAGTGGTAAGTGGACGCTACTGACTGTACTCCAGGAAGACTGTTAGTGGTAAGTGGACGCTACTGACTGTACTCCAGGAAGACTTTTTAGTGGTAAGTGGACGCTACTGACTGTACTCCAGGAAGACTGTTAGTGGTAAGTGGACGCTACTGACTGTACTCCAGGAAGACTGTTAGTGGTAGTGGCGCTACTGACTGTACTCCAGGAAGACTGTTAGTGGTAAGTGGACGCTACTGATTGTACTCCAGGAAGACTGTTAGTGGTAAGTGGACGCTACTGACTGTACTCCAGGAAGACTGTTAGTGGTAAGTGACGCTACTGACTGTACTCCAGGAAGACTGTTAGTGGTAAGTGGACGCTACTGACTGTACTCCAGGAAGACTGTTAGTGGTAAGTGGACGCTACTGACTGTACTCCAGGAAGACTGTTAGTGGTAAGTGGACGCTACTGACTGTACTCCAGGAAGACTGTTAGTGGTAAGTGGACGCTACTGACTGTACTCCAGGTAACATTGCAATTCTAATCTGTGATGGTATAACGGTATATCAGTACTATTATCACATACTATCCCTTATGTGGTATACCTCACTTAAATAACATTCAAACCTTTGTGTAGAGTATACCTCAGTGTATACCTGAAGTATACATACCAGATATACCCAGGGTATATACTTAAATAGATGTAAAATATCTGATTGGTGATAAAATATACTCCAGCAGTATAAATGACCAAGTATATCTGCTGGTCTGAAGTTATCACCAATCTACCCAGTATATACACCGTATATACATCAGTATACTGTATATACGTTAGTGTTGTGTGGGACTATCTTCTCTCTGGGACTACACCGATGGCAGCGTTGATGTCGTACTTGTTCGTAGCCCTGGAACAATCCACATTGTACCACCAGTCACATACAAGGTAGTCCTGGTTGAACAATGTTCCATTGGGACAGAGGAAAGATCCCATCTTACCTCCGTTAAGACAGATGTGGAACACCTGTGTAGGAGACATTGCTGAATTACACTACAAGGTGTTTCAAAATAATGGAACCAGTTTCAAAGGGAACTGCTTTGAAATTGGGACCATCCATTTTGAAACACCCTGTACTATCACTATTACTACTGTGACTACTACTACTGCTTAATTACTACTACTACTACTATTACTTATGTTTCACTTCACGTGTCCCGTAGCTGGGTTGGTAGTGCACTCAGCTCACACTGAAGTCCGTGGTTCGATCCCCGGTACGGCTGGAAATATTAGGACGTATTTCCTTAAGGCACCTGCTGACCCTGTTCACCTAGCAGTAAAATAGGTACCTGGGTGTTAGTCGACTGGTGTGGGTCGCATCCTGGGGACAAAACTGACCTAACATGCCTGAAATGACCCCCGAAACTCTCTCCAGGTAAACTCCAGGTTAACAATGGGCTTTCTAGATAAGGGGGCTACGACCCCCCTACGTCCACACACTGGCAGTACAGGTGTGGACGAAGGGGGTCACGACCTCTCCTGTCCAGTAGCACAGATGAAACAAGATCAGTCTTGCAACAGAACATCCATATATCTCACCATCCTCACAATAAGATCACAGTAAACTGGTGATATTAGAGCAGACAAAACAACCACTGTGAAAGAATAGTGAAATTCCAGGCGATTTCGTGACTTCTCACATAATGAGGCCTGGTCACAGACGGGGCCGCAGGGGCGCTGACCCCCGGAACTGTCTCCGGGTATCTCCAGGTAATGCGAGAAGTCACGAAAGCGCTTGAAATTTCACTATTCTTTCACAGTAGTTGTTTTGCATATATTACCCTATTAATTACCATCTGGAGAGAGTTCCGGGGGTCAACGCCCCCGCGGCCCGGTCTGTGACCAGGCCTCCTTAGGTCAGTGTCCTAGGATGCGACCCACACCAGTCGACTAACACCCAGGTACCCATTTTACTGATGGGGAACATAGACAACAGGTGGAAAGAAACACGTCCAATGTTTCTACTCTGGCTGGGAATCGAACCCAGGCCCTCACCGTGTGAAGCCAGAGCGTTAACCACCAGGCCACCAGAGCCCCTGTTTCCTTATTCTACAAAATTTAACTCCTCATAAACTGGATTAAGATCAGATCAACAGACATAATATTTGTACCTGTTGCCCAGCATCCGCTATTTACGGGAGGATCTGCAACATATATTCACATAAATCATACCACGGGTGGGGTTAGAACCCGCGGTCAAGTCTCAAAACTCCAGACCATGACTAATGGGACGGTCTGGAGTTTTGAGATTCTCTGATCGCGGGTTCTAACCCCGCCCGAGGTATGGTTTGTTTCGTGAGTCGAGTTAAATTCACATGTTTGTCTTACGAACCTTCTATTCCTAAGACCATTAAAAATTCGTAGGGGGTCTAAGGCTGTCAACTGAAAAATGAGAACCCAAGACCAACAGTGGTCTTTCAGTGTATTGTTATACATAATTACATAGACAGTAAGAGGCACTAACCTGGCAGTGTGTTTCTGGATCAGCGAAGTAACCGCCCCACTGTTGGTCCAGGCAGGAGAAAGTTGTCTTGGGTACTGCTGAGTACTGTGGGTAGTTTACTGACAACTCTGCTCCCCTTCCAACCTGTCAACCAGTGATGGTATTACTGTACTTATCATGCTGGGATGATATATCTACACTTGCTAAGATGCTGGTCTACTGGGATGATACATCATTCTAAGATGCTGGTCTACTGGGATGCTACATCATTCTAAGATGCTGGTCTACTGGGATGATACATCTATCATTCTAAGATGCTGGTCTACTGGGATGATACATCTATCATTCTAAGATGCTGGTCTACTGGGATGATACATCTATCATTCTAAGATGCTGGTCTACTGGGATGATACATCTATCATTCTAAGATGCTGGTCTACTGGGATGATACATCTATCATTCTAAGATGTGGTCTACTGGGATGATACATCTATCATTCTAAGATGCTGTCTACTGGGATGATACATCTATCATTCTAAGATGCTGGTCTAGTGGAAGATACATCTATCATTCTAAGATGCTGGTCTGGGATGCTACATCATTCTAAGATGCTGGTCTACTGGATGATACATCTATCATTCTAAGAGCTGTTTCCTTGGGATGTTACACTATAATTCTAAGTGCTGGTCTACTGGGATTGATAATCTATCATTCTAAGATGCTGGTCTACTGGGATGATCATTTACATTCTAGATGCTGTCTACGGGATGATCATCAACATTTAAGATTGTCTACTGGATGATACATCTATCATTCTAAGATGCTGGGTTAGAACTCGGGATGATACATCTAATCAGTCTAAGATGTGGTCTACTGGATGAGTCATTATCAATTCTAGATGCTGGGTTCTACTGGAGTATTATCATTTAAGATGCTGGTCTACTGGGTATAATTCATCATTTAAGATTGGTCTATGATGATACATCTGTCTATTCTAAGAGCTGTTATGGATGATAATTCTGTCATTTAAGATGCTGGTCTACTGGTATGTACATTATCATTCTAAGATGGGTCTACTAATGATACAATCTATCTTCTAGATGTGGTCTATGTATGATACATCTATCATTCTAAAGTAGTGGCTACTGGGATGTCATCTATTTCTAGGATGCTGTTACTGGTATGATACATCTTCATTCAAGATGTTGGTCCACTGGGATGACATTATCATCAAGATGTGGTCTACTGGTATGAACATATCATTCTAAGATGTGGTTTACTGGTATGATACATCTATCCCTTCTAAGATGCTGGTCTAACTGGGATTGATACTTCTTCATTCAGTGCTGGGTCTATGGTATGATATAATCTATCATTCTAAGATGCTGGTTCTACTGTGATGATACATCTATCATCTAGATGCTGGTCTACTGGATGATACATCTATCATTCTAAGATGCTGGTCTACTGGGATGATACATCTATCATTCTAAGATGCTGGTCTACTGGGATGATACATCTATCATTCTAAGATGCTGGTCTACTGGGATGATACATCTATCATTCTAAGATGCTGGTCTACTGGGATGATACATCTATCATTCTAAGATGCTGGTCTACTGGGATGATACTATCATTCTAAGATGCTGGTCTACTGGGATGATACATCTATCATTCTAAGATGCTGGTCTACTGGGATGATACATCTATCATTCTAAGATGCTGGTCTACTGGGATGATACATCTATCATTCTAAGATGCTGGTCTACTGGGATGATACATCTATCATTCTAAGATGCTGGTCTACTGGGATGATACATCTATCATTCTAAGATGCTGGTCTACTGGGATGATACATCTATCATTCTAAGATGCTGGTCTACTGGGATGCTACATCATTCTAAGATGCTGGTCTACTGGGATGATACATCTATCATTCTAAGATGCTGGTCTACTGGGATGATACATCTATCATTCTAAGATGCTGGTCTACTGGGATGATACATCTATCATTCTAAGATGCTGGTCTACTGGGATGATACATCTATCATTCTAAGATGCTGGTCTACTGGGATGATACATCTATCATTCTAAGATGCTGGTCTACTGGATGATACATCTATCATTCTAAGATGCTGGTCTACTGGGATGATACATCTATCATTCTAAGATGCTGGTCTACTGGGATGATACATCTATCATTCTAAGATGCTGGTCTACTGGGATGATACATCTATCATTCTAAGATGCTGGTCTACTGGGATGATACATCTATCATTCTAAGATGCTGGTCTACTGGGATGATACATCTATCATTCTAAGATGCTGGTCTACTGGGATGATACATCTATCATTCTAAGATGCTGGTCTACTGGGATGATACATCTATCATTCTAAGATGCTGGTCTACTGGGATGATACATCTATCATTCTAAGATGCTGGTCTACTGGTATGATACATCTATCATTCTAAGATGCTGGTCTACTGGTATGATACATCTATCATTCTACACATCATTCTCAGAGGTGTGTTAAAGGCATAATTACATCATAACTCGTTTAAGATAATTGATAGTGACTCACTGCTAGGTCCAGTTGCTTGGCACTGCCTGAAGGTTGTTGGCCCTCTGATGTGGCACTGCTTGCTGTGACCTCCACTGGAGCAGCTGTGACCTCCACTGGCGCTGGAGTAGTTGAGGGTAGAGCAAAGTGTTGTGAAGTAGGGGTTGTGGTAAGTGATCCTTGATCCCACGGACCAGCAGTGCCAGGCACTGCTTCAAGAGTCCATGGAGCGACAGTGCCAGGCACTGCGTCAAGAGTCCATGGAGCGACAGTGTCAGGCACTGCTTCAAGAGTCCGTGGAGCGACAGTGCCAGGCACTGCTTCAAGAGTCCGTGGAGCGACAGTGCCAGGCACTGCTTCAAGAGTCTGTGGAGAGACAGTGCCAGGAACTGCCACATTATCAGGGTCGTACTCAACATCATACTGTAAAACTTTCTTAATCGGGACACTAACAGTGGATTTTGCGAGGTCAGAGGTCACTGGCGCATCAGTAGCTGAAGTCACCTTGTTGACTGAGAGGTCATGTTGCTGGCTGACATCATTACCAGAGAGGTCAAGTTGTTGACTGGTTTCAGTGACGGGGATGTCAAAGCCTTGGTTGACCTGTGCTGGAAGGTCAAAGCCCTGGTTGACCTCTGGTACTGTGCTATCAAAGCCTTGGTTGACCTGTGCTGGAAGGTCAAAGCCCTGGTTGACCTCTGGTACTGTGCTATCAAAGCCTTGGTTGACCTGTGCTGGAAGGTCAAAGCCCTGGTTGACCTCTGGTATTGTGCTGTCAATGCCTTGACTGAATTGACCTTCTGATTCGTCAAAACTCTGGTTGAATTGGCTTGCCTGGCTGTCAAACTGCTGGTTGACGACATATCCTGGATACTCATAACTTGGGTTGAACTCAGTTGTCGGCAGGTCAAGTTCTTGGCTGACCTCATGAATTGGGTTGTCAAAGGCTTGACCTACACGAGTTACTGGGACATCAAAGCCTTGGTTGACCAGGCCTGTTCTTACATCAAAGCCATGACTGACCTGGCTTGTCACTATATCAGAGACCTGGTTGACTTCTGGTGTTGGGTAGTCAGAGACCTGGTTGACTTCTGTGTTGGGTAGTCAGAGACTGGTTGACTTCTGTTTGGGTGTCAGAGACCTGGTTGACTTCTAGTGTTGGGTAGTCAGAGACCTGGTTGACTTCTAGTGTTGGGTGGTCAGAGACCTGGTTGACTTCTAGTGTTGGGTGGTCAGAGACCTGGTTGACTTCTGATCTTGGGTAGTCAGAGATCTGGTTGATCTCTGGTGTTGAGTGGTCAAAGACCTGGTTGATCTCTGGTGTTGGGTGGTCAGAAACCTGGTTGACCTCTGGTCTTGGGTAGTCAGGGACTGTTGCTTCTGGTGTAGGTGTCAGAGACCTGTATGACCTCTGGTCTTGGGTAGCAGAACCTGTTGTCTTTGTGTTGGTGTCAAACTGTTGACCTCGTCTGGGTAGTCAGAGACTGGTTGTATATGTGTTGGTGTCAGAGACTGGTTGCTTGAGATGTATGGAGTCATGACTAAAGTCAGCATCAATCAGTGTCAGCTGGTCATGGGTCAGGATAGATGTAGGTCAGTATGCTATGGTGACATGTCGTGGTCTGTGTGAATATTATAATTATGGCTATACGTAGATGAGGTGTGGATAAGATGTATGGTCATGTAGAAGGTATGTATGAGATGTATGGTCATGTAGAAGGTATGGATGAGATGTATGGTCATGTAGAAGGTATGGATGAGATGTATGGTCATGTAGAAGGTATTGATGAGATGTATGGTCATGTAGAAGGTATGGCAGAGTTACAGAAATTATCAGTTTTACCTTATTGGTTGATACAATCGACTGTTCTTGTTCTCCAGTAGTCACTTGTTCACTGGGGATGCGTTCACTGGGGATGCGTTCACTGGGGATGCGTTCACTGGGGATGCGTTCCCCATAACTTGGTTCTCTAGCAGGGCTGTGTTCTTCACTGGTGTGTTGCTGGTGTTCCTGTTCACCATGGCTGTGTTCACCATGTTCACCATGGTGGTGGTGGTGATCCAAGCCGTCAAGTAGGCTGGCATATGCCTGTAGGCAGAAGAAAAATAGTTTCAGAGAGAATGCTATTAGACAACAAGACGGGCAACCATCTACATTCCCCACACAGTCTGAGGCGCGGCTGTCAAGCTGACAGCAGCTTAAGCTTCCCAAGCTTAAGTTGTATCTCTAGAATAAATAATGATAATTATTATTATTATTATTATTATTATTATTATTATTATTAATTTGACCTCTAAAAAATATATGAAATTTAAGGCAGATTTAACTGAGAAAATAATGATAAAAGGGGCCACGACCCAGCCAGGGGGGCCACGACCCAGCCAGGGGGGCCACGACCCAGCTAGGGGGGACACGACCCAGCCAGGGGGGCCACGACCCAGCCAGGGGCCACGACCCAGCCAGGGGGGCCACGACCCAGCTAGGGGGGACACGACCCAGCTAGGGGGGACACGACCCAGCCAGGGGGGCCACGACCCAGCCAGGGGGGCACCGACCAGCCAGGGGGGCCACGACCCAGCCAGGGGGGCACGACCCAGCTAGGGGGGACACGACCCAGCCAGGGGGGCCACGACCCAGCTAGGGGGCCACGACCCACCAGGGGGGCACGACCCAGCTAGGGGGGCCACGACCCAGCCAGGGGGGCACGACCCAGCTAGGGGGGACACGACCCAGCCAGGGGGGCCACGACCCAGCTAGGGGGCCACGACCCAGCCAGGGGGGACACGACCCAGCTAGGGGGGACACGACCCACTAGGGGTGCCACGACCCAACCAGGGGGCCACGACCCAGTCCAGGGGCCTACGACTCATCCAGGATAGCCTCGACCCCGCCAGGGGGGCCACGACCCAGCCAGGGGGTCAACGACCCAGCCAGGAGGGCCACGACCAAGCCAGGGGGGCCACGACCCAGTCAGGGGGGCACGACCTAGCTAGGAGGACCACGACCATAGCTAGGGGGCTACGACCCATCCAGGGGGCCTCGACTCCCCAAGGGTACGACCCACCAGGGGATCCACGACCCACCAGGGGGCCACGACCATCCCAGAGGGCCAGGACCCATCCAGGGGGCCACGACTCCATCCAGGGGGCCGACCCCGCCAGAGGGCCACGACCCACCAGGGGATCACGACCCAGCCAGGGGAGTCACGACCCAGCCAGGAGGGCCACGACCCAGCCAGGGGGGCCTCGACCCAGCCAGGGGGCCATGACCCATCCAGGGGAGTTACGACCCATCCAGAGGAGTCACGACCCATCCAGGGGAGTCACGACCCAGCCAGGGGAGTCACGACCCAGTCAGGGGAGTCACGACCCATCCAGGGGAGCCACGACCCATCCAAGGGAGCCACGACCCATCCAGGGGAGCCACGACCCATCCAGGGGAGCCACGACCCATCCAGGGGAGCCACGACCCATCCAGGGGAGCCACGACCCATCCAGGGAAGCCACGACCCATCCAGGGGAGCCACGACCCATCCAGGGGAGCCACGACCCCCAGTTTGAGAACCACGAACCCAATACCAGGGAAGAGCCACGACCCATCCATTGGGAGCACGACCCATCCAGGGGAGGCACGACCCGGTAGAGCAAAACATTTAACAGATTATTTGAAGATCTTACTATATACCAAGTATATTAACACATAAACCCTAATCTTATTGTTGGTACATGTGTATAGTGTGGTACGTCCCAGGTATGAACGTGTGCCGTAGTTCTTGAGCTCGGTGACTAGAGAGTAAAGAGACAGATATATTAATTTAAATTTGATATATATATGAGTTTGTAGTAGTGTTGAATAATATATATTACCTAGATGTATGTAATATATAACTTTATTTATTTAGGTGTTTACCCATGATCCACGATTACCAAGGCCTAGGTTTAGCTCAAGTATCCTTGTATAGTTTAAGATGAGTATTCTTAAGAGGTTTATTCAGATGTTGTTCAAATCTGGTTGCTTAATGATGAGTTGCTTCAGAGTGTTGAAATCAAGGTCTTCAAGATACCTAGTATGTCTGTAATGTAACCTGTTGAATTTCTCGAAGGTGTTTCTACGCTCATTGATGTCCAAGACACTGTTGTTTCAAGATCCCCTGGTTGTCTTCAAGACTCCTGGTTGTCTTCAAGATCCCTGTTGTCTTCAAGACCCTGGTTGTCTTCAAGACCCCTGGTTGTCTTCAAGATCCCTGGTTGTCTTCAAGACCCTGGTTGTCTTCAAGACCCTGGTTGTCTTCAAGACCCCTGGTTGTCTTCAAGACCCTGGTTGTCTTCAAACCCTGGTTGTCTTCAAGACCCCTGGTTGTCTTCAAGACTCCTGGTTGTCTTCAAGACCCCTGGTTGTTCAGACCTGGTTTCTTCAAGACTCCTGGTTGTCTTCAAGACCCCTGGTTGTCTTCAAGATCCCTGGTTGTCTTCAAGACCCCTGGTTGTCTTCAAGACCCTGGTTGTCTTCAAGACCCCTGGTTGTCTTCAAGACCCTGGTTGTCTTCAAGACTCCTGGTTGTCTTCAAGACCCCTGGTTCTAAGACTGTTGTCTTCAAGACCCCTGGTTTGTCTTCAAGACCCTTGGTTGTCTTCAAGACTCCTGGCTGTCTTCAAGACTCCTGGTTGTCTTCAACACTCCTGGTTGTCTTCAAGACCCCTGGTTGTCTTCAAGATCCCTGGTTGTCTTCAAGATCCCTGGTTGTCTTCAAGACTCCTGGTTGTCTTCAAGACCCCTGGTTGTCTTCAAGACCCCTGGTTGTCTTCAAGTCTGTTGTCTTCAAGACTCCTGGTTGTCTTCAAGACTCCTGGTTGTCTTCAAGACTCCTGGTTGTCTTCAAGACTCCTGGTTGTCTTCAAGACTCCTGGTTGTCTTCAAGACCCCTGGTTGCTTCAAGACCCCTGGTTGTCTTCAAGATCCCTGGTTGTCTTCAAGACCCCTGGTTGTCTTCAAGACCCCTGGTTGTCTTCAAGATCCCTGGTTGTCTTCAAGACCCCTGGTTGTCTTCAAGACCCCTGGTTGTCTTCAAGACCCCTGGTTGTCTTCAAGACCCCTGGTTGTCTTCAAGACTCCTGGTTGTCTTCAAGATCCCTGGTTGTCTTCAAGACTCCTGGTTGTCTTCAAGACCCCTGGTTGTCTTCAAGACCCCTGGTTGTCTTCAAGACCCCTGGTTGTCTTCAAGACCCCTGGTTGTCTTCAAGACTCCTGGTTGTCTTCAAGACCCCTGGTTGTCTTCAAGATCCCTGGTTGTCTTCAAGACCCCTGGTTGTCTTCAAGACCCCTGGTTGGTCTCTCACAAGATCCCTGGTTGTCTTCAATCCCCTGGTTGTCTTCAAGACTCCTGGTTGTCTTCAAGATCCCTGGTTGTCTTCAAGACCCCTGGTTGTCTTCAAGACCGTGGTTGTCTTCAAGATCCCTGGTTGTCTTCAAGATCCCTGGTTGTCTTCAAGACCCCTGGTTTGTCTTCAAGACCCCTGGTTGTCTTCAAGATCACCTGGTTGTCTTCAAGACCCCTGGTTGTCTTCAAGACCCCTGGTTGTCTTCAAGATCCCTGGTTGTCTTCAAGACCCCTGGTTGTCTTCAAGACCCCTGGTTGTCTTCAAGACCCTGGTTGTCTTCAAGACTCCTGGTTGTCTTCAAGACCCTGGTTGTCTTCAAGACTCCTGGTTGTCTTCAAGACCCCTGGTTGTCTTCAAGACCCCTGGTTGTCTTCAAGACCCCTGGTTGTCTTCAAGACCCCTGGTTGTCTTCAAGACCCCTGGTTGTCTTCAAGACCCCTGGTTGTCTTCAAGACCCCTGGTTGTCTTCAAGACCCTGGTTGTCTTCAAGATCCCTGGTTGTCTTCAAGACCCCTGGTTGTCTTCAAGACCCCTGGCTTGTCTTCAAGACCCCTGGTTGTCTTTCAAGACCCTGGTTGTCTTCAAGACCCTGGTTGTCTTCAAGACCCCTGGTTGTCTTCAAGACCCCTGGTTGTCTTCAAGACCCCCTGGTTGTCTTCAAGACCCCTGGTTGTCTTCAAGACCCCTGGTTGTCTTCAAGACCCCTGGTTGTCTTCAAGACCCCTGGTTGTCTTCAAGACTCCTGGTTGTCTTCAAGACCCCTGGTTGTCTTCAAGACCCCTGGTTGTCTTCAAGACCTCCTGGTTGTCTTCAAGACCCCTGGTTGTCTTCAAGACCCTGGCTGTCTTCAAGACCCCTGGTTGTCTTCAAGACTCCTGGTTGTCTTCAAGACCCCTGGTTGTCTTCAAGACCCCTGGTTGTCTTCAAGACCCTGGTTGTCTTCAAGACCCCTGGCTGTCTTCAAGACCCCTGGTTGTCTTCAAGACCCTGGTTGTCTTCAAGACCCCTGGTTGTCTTCAAGACCCCTGGTTGTCTTCAAGACCCTGGTTGTCTTCAAGACCCCTGGTTGTCTTCAAGACCCCTGGTTGTCTTCAAGATCCCTGGTTGTCTTCAAGACCCCTGGTTGTCTTCAAGACCCTGGTTGTCTTCAAGACTCCTGGTTGTCTTCAAGACCCCTGGTTGTCTTCAAGACCCCTGGTTGTCTTCAAGACCCTGGTTGTCTTCAAGACCCTGGTTGTCTTCAAGACCCTGGTTGTCTTCAAGACTCCTGGTTGTCTTCAAGATCCCTGGTTGTCTTCAAGACCCCTGGTTGTCTTCAAGACCCCTGGTTGTCTTCAAGACTCCTGGTTGTCTTCAAGACCCCTGGCTGTCTTCAAGATCCCTGGTTGTCTTCAAGATCCCTGGTTGTCTTCAAGACCCCTGGTTGTCTTCAAGACCCCTGGCTGTCTTAAACTGGAACTAGTATACCTCAGGTAGTTGATCAACCCGGCTGCGGTGCAACAGATTTAATCCTCCAGACGTATAGTAACACAGCTTCAGGAATGGGTACGATTCGCAGGGAGAGGTCAGAACAGGCATCTTGGATGCTGACAAAGAGCTCTTCGTCCAGTTAACTGGAGCTAACTTCCACTTCCTCAGATCAAACCTACCTTATCCCCCCCTCCCCCACAGGTTCAACACAGCCCCTGCGGGTTTAGCACTGCCAGGAGACACGAAAAACTGAAGGGTTTACCGCATCTTCCAGGACTTCCAGAAAGTTTTTGATGAGGTAAAAAACAGAATATTACTGCAATGGGTAAATTGAGAGACAATTGAGGTATTAGTGAGGCATAAGTGAGGTATAAGTGAGGTATAAGTGAGGTATAAGTAAGGTAAGTGTGGGACATCAGCAGATAAATGGTTTCCTGTTAAGAGTCACAGCTAGAAAGTCTTAACTGGGGATCCCTCAAGGTCCAGTCCTTGGTCTAATTATGTTGTGATAACAGGTGTTATAGCAGGTGTTATAGCAGTTAAGGTTGTGATATTACTGGTGTTATAGCAGGTGTTAAGGTTGTGATATTACTGGTGTTACAGCAGGTGTTATAGCAAGTGTTAAGGTTGTGATATTACTGGTGTTATAGCAGGTGTTAAGGTTGTGATATTACTGGTGTTACAGCAGGTGTTATAACAAGTGTTAAGGTTGTGATATTACTGGTGTTATAGCAGGTGTTAAGGTTGTGATATTACTGGTGTTATAGCAGGTGTTAAGGTTGTGATATTACTGGTGTTACAGCAGGTGTTTATTGCAATGTGTTAAGGGTTGTGATATTAACTGGTGTTACAGCAGGTGTTATAACAAGTGTTAAGGTTGTGATATTACTGGTGTTAAGCAGGTGTATAGAAGTGTTAATGGTTTGATATTACTGGTGTGTAAGCAGGTGTTATAGCAAGTGTTAAGGTTGTGATATTACTGGTGTTACAGCAGGTGTTATAACAAGTGTTAAGGTTGTGATATTACTGGTGTTACAGCAGGTGTTATAGCAAGTGTTAAGGTTGTGATATTACTGGTGTTATAGCAGGTGTTATAGCAAGTGTTAAGGTTGTGATATTACTGGTGTTAAGCAGGTGTTAAACAAGTGTTAAGGTTGTGATATTACTGGTGTTACAGCAGGTGTTATAGCAAGTGTAAGGTTGTGATATTACTGGTGTTATAGCAGGTGTTAAGGTTGATGATACTACTGGTGTTACAGCAGTGTGTATATAACAAGTGTTATAGGTTGTGATACTAAGGTGTTAAGCAGGTGTTAAGGTTGTGATATAACTCGATGTTATAGCAGGTTTAAGAGTTGTGATATTACTGAGGTTACCAAGAGGTGTTTAACAAGTTTTAGTTAATGTGATATTTAACTGTGTTATAGCAGATGTATAGGTTTGTGATATTACTGGTGTTTACAGCAGTGATTATAACAAGTGTTAGGTTGTATATTACTGGTATGCAGTTGTTTAAGGTTGTGATATTACTGTGTTCATAGCAGTGTTAAAGGTGATGTAACAGTTTTACAGCGTGTTATAACAGTGTTAAGTTTGTCATTACAGGTGTTTATAGCAGGTGTTAAGTTTGTATATATACTGGTATTACAAACAGGTGTTAAGGTGATATAACAGGTGTTCAGCATGGTAGTTACTAACAAGTGTTAAAGGTTGTGATATTCACTGGTGTTATAGCAGTGTTAATGTGTTGTGATTTACTGTGTTATAGCAG